GTTAAATAAAGATAATCCCTGTGAATGGAGGCTTTCTGAGAACTTCTAGAAAGTTCAGAAAATGACAATCTTGAGTAGTAGAGGTTTGGGGATACAAAGTTATTCTACTTTCTCTGGTGGCTTCTGGGCTGCTGATTTTCCTAGCTACTCTGATTGTGAGGCTGTTGGTTTTCAAAGCTCCTGCAGAGCTGGGGAAAGGGGCATAGAAATATTGCTCACTATTTTTACATGCATTCCGCCATTTTTTAAAAAAAAAAAAAGACAACATTGTATTAATTTCCTGTATTCTTAAAAAGTTATTTTTGAAAATATTTTTCAGTATTCTTATTGCTTTTATGAAGGAACAGAGTTCTAGAGGTCTTTCTTCACCGTTCTCATTAGCATTACTCACACTTTTTATTCAGTTTTATTAAAGTATAATTTACATTTGAAAAAATTACCAATTTAAGGTATCCAATTTAAAGAGTTTTGTCAAATGTGATCAGTTATATAACTATCACCACACACATAATACAGAAAATTTTTGTTAACTCAGTACCCCATTGCTGGCATCTGGCAAACATGTCTGCTTATTGCCACCACAATTATGCCTTTTATGTGTTTTTAAATAAATATAACCACATGTATACAATCACTGTATCTGTTTTTTTTTTTCACTTAGCAAAATGCCCCTGAGAGTCATCCATGTTTTTGATATATCAGTAATTAGTGACTTGAATTGTTAAGTATTCCATTGTATGGATATACTACAATTTTATATCCATTTACTAGGAGATGTGAATTTGGGTTACTTGTATTTTTTATTATTTTATGAATAAGACTCCTATGAACATTCAAGTACCATTCTTTTTATGGATATATAATTCCTTTTATATTGAACACACAACTAAGAGTAGATTTGGTGGGTCAAATGCTTAAGTATATTTAATTTTATAAGAAATTGCCAAATGACTTTTCAAAGAAGTTGCATCCTTTTGGGAGTTTCAAAAATTCTGGATCCTTGCTAACAGTGTTATCAACATTTGTAATTTGAACATTTTAGTGTACATGTAGTGGTGTCTCATTTTGATTTTAATTCCTTTCTCCCATGACTAATGATGTTAAATGTCTTTTCTTGTGCTTATTAAGCATTTATATATCTTCTCTTAGAAATGCCTATTCACAAATTTAGCTCATTTTTAAGATAAAATTATTCAACTTTTATGAATATTAAATATTAAAAAATATTTCTAGTTATGAGTCCAATATCAGATTCTCTCTAACTTTTGTGAACATTTTCTTCAAGTCTATAATCAATTCTTAAGGTGCAGAGAGATTTTTGAGTTTATGATTAAAGGATCCAAGTCTATAAAGATGAATATAGTTAAAGTCTCCAACTTTAAAAGTAATAAATACATTTTCTCCATGTATCAGAAAATATACAGTGTATTTGATTACATGGCATATTAAGAATGAGCCCTTTGATATCTTTTGTGTATGTAGTAGATAAACTTTTTCACAAATAGAGAGGTTTGTTTGTACTACCCAACTATAATGGAAGAACAGGTGATTAGATAAGTAAATTTTATAAATGATAGGCAATCCTTCAAACCTGTCACAGCTACCAAATGAGTAACATTATTTTTTTTAATTTCACATACCACTGTTAGGTAAAGATGTTAATACATGTGGAATTGACCAAGAAGATAACCTGTTAGCCACAAAGGCCAAGAATCCACTGAAGACAGTCTTAGACCAGATGATCAGCTTCCCATCAAGAATTGCCTATTTTATTTGACACTATTAGGAATTCGTAGACAGTGGGTAAATTGCAGGTGACTAAAAATGAGGAGAATCATCATACATTTTTAAGTCAATGAGTGTTGTGATAAGAAGTTGAGAAATAGAACTGGTTTCAGTGTGAACCACTGGGAATAACAGCGAAGCCAATTAAGAGGCTGTTGCCTAACTCTAGGTGAAAGATAAGAAGGAACTGAACTAGGAACAAAAGAGAGGAAGGTCTTCTTCAAAGACATTATAGACGTAGAATTTACAGAACCTCTTGATCAATGGATATAATTCTTGAAGAAGAATCTCAATATGACTCCATTTTGTAGTGTGGGTAACCTATCGGTGATGCACTCATTCAGACAGCAAGTAGGAGATAAGTTTTGAAGAGAATGCAATGAGTTATTTGAATTTGAAGAACCCGTAAGACCCCACAGATTGGTGAGAGTGGGATGTAGTTGCAAATGTAGCTATGGTCTCAGGTGAGATGGATCAGTGACAGTAGCGGTTGTATCATCAGAACCTAGTTTATTTTGAGATGAGACACTAGTATGCCCATCCAGAGTAACAGAGCAAATACTTCTGTTTGAATTCTAAATAAATAAATTATATGGCCAAAATTCACTGAACTGAAATCATATGACCTATGCACACAAAAATGGTCAATGATCAAAGATGAGAGGTTGAACACTAGAATTTACTTACTTCTAAGTCCTGAGTAATTTTCAGAGAGATATTTCCTCACAAGAAGAGCACAACTATAAAATTTTCCATGCAGAAAAAAATAGAAATATATCATAGAGGACTTAGAAAGCCCAAGGAACAAAATTTAAGTAGACAAAGGAGAAAGTTGTTATATAACTCACTTTTCACTGAAGAAACCCTAATACTATAAAATACTATAAAATTGTTTGTGAACATGGAGGTAGGCTAAAAACAGGAGGGTTGTTTGGAATTGTATTTTAAAGTAGGTAGAGACCTAAAAATTCTTCCCCAGTCTATATCCAGGTGATTTCTCTCCTTACTACCAATACAATACTAGAAGTTGATTCCCCAAAGAGGCTAAAACAGAAGCTTCCTTGATTGGGAGTATCAGACATGGTTGAAGATGGGTGTTCTACTAAAAACAGAAGTCCATGTCACAGTCTGCATACTTTCTAAATGTCAGCATTCCCAAGACTCTTCTATTAATTACTCAGCTCCAGAACAGTGGAAAACACTCTCAAGAGGAATCTCATTTCTGAGAAATGTGATCAGCTCAGAATAAAAGACAAAACAAGGGCAGCAAATCCCGATTAGAACAGGTCAAAAGGCTCAGAGAAACAAGTCTCCAAGGAAACTAAATTGTTAGACAATCCAATATAATAGAAAACACATAGAGACTGAGGTAATTGAGAGTGTTTGGGTTTGGATTTAGGGATAAGCACATAGAAAATTAAGGAAATAAACTAGATACTTATTAACTTCAGAGATAACCAAAAGTTGAAAATGAAAGGAAAAATAATCAAAGTATGATATACAGGTGAATAGCATTTCCATGGTCATGATAAACACTGAATATTTGATTTATCCATGAATTATGACATGGCTATATTTGGAAGAGACAAAAGGTGAGCATGTTCCAAAAATCAAATTCAGTAGATAATTACTTACACTGCAAGATTAAAAAGTTTAAAAGAATTGTTTCCAAAGAGTGAGAAGTAGGAAAGGAGATGAGAGGTAGTGTTTAACTCTTCAAAGCTTATGCATTCATTAATTGTGATAATTTTATTAAAAAATGAAACAAAAATAATAAAGGATTTGTGAAGGGAATTTCATGACAATCAGATTGGATGAAAATTGAGGATGTCTTCCAAATAGTGAAAAGGAAACATTTCACATGAAAATGTTGGAGTAGTGAGTATAGACCCTTGATGGAGAGGTAGAATTGAAAGAAGATTGGTAGTTTGCTTGATTATAGTTCTTTAGGTAGCTAACTAATTGGTTAGTCAATTTATTGAAGACAGAGAAGAAAGAAGTTGAGAGAGAGTTTGCTGAATAGAAGGGAACAAATGAAATCTCAAAGTCCCAGATGAAGTGGTGGATATTGAAATAAAGAACAAGGTTAAAAAGGTTAGCTTTGAAGAATAGGGGCATCTTTTCTTGCAGAGCACCGAAGCAGAGTGGCAGGATTAAGGGCATATAAATATAATTGATGATGAAGAAAAGTATTCTGAAAAGAATTTATATCTAACAGTTTATATTTTCTCATTGGCAGCTGTGGCTAAGGCTTCAGTTGAGGAACAGGGTCTTTCTGATTGCCAGAGATTAGGAACCAAACAGAGGGGAAAATGAAAGGAACGCTGCTGAGTAGCAATTTTGGGAGCCCAGCTGAGGGTGAAAAGCAAAATATATGTATTAGTCAGCATGGACTACCATGAAAGAATACCACAGACTGGGTGGCCTCAACAATAAGAATTTGTTTTCTCACAGTTCACAGTTCTGGAGGCTGAAAAGTCCAAGGTAAAGGTCCTGGCAGGATTTGGTTCTTGGTAAGGCCCCTCTTCCTGACCTCCCGACAGCCACCTTCTCTGGTGTTCTCACATGGAGGGAATTGAGGAAGGAAGAAAGAGTGAGAACACATAAGCTCTCTGGAGTCTCTTCTTATAGGGACACTAATCCTGTTGGATCAGGACTCCTCCCTTGTGACCTTATTTACCTTCAAGTACCTTTTTATTGTAAATATAGTCACACTGGGGGCTGGAGCTTCAACACATGAGTTTTGAGGGGAATACAGTTAAGGGCATAGCATGTATAATTCAGCAATATAGTGCAAGTTACTTTCCCATGTATACCCAACTGCCTGAGACCAAGAGAAAAGACAGACGTTAGTTATACAGATCCTATTTGGGGATTAGTAGGATAGAGTTGATGGGAAGTCAAGGTGGCAAATGATTGAGGGACTGGTGAAAGTATAGCTAAAATGATTGGCATGGATTGCAAGAAGGGTGGAAAGGGAAGCCGGAAAGGACTGGGTTTAGATTAGAGAAAGTACAATATGGGTGGGCCTAGTGACAGAATTCTCTTAGGTCAAAAGGCACAAATGAAAACTACATGTTTTCTGCTGTCTTGGGACATAATAGGTTGTTTCTGCTCTTTCAACTTTACTGAAAAGTAAAGAAGGATTATCAAACTGGAAAGACAATTTATATTCATTAGAGGTAGTAATCATCTTTTTTCCCCTTGTTTTCTAGACGACTAAATACATTGAACAAGTGTGCCTCAATGAAACTTGATGTGAACTTCCAAAGGAAAAAGGTAGGTGTCCATACCTGGCTAAGACAATGACCACATCAACAGAAACAGTTTGTATTCATAGATTAAAAACAACATGAACCAAACAAAATTTTGAAATGCTCTACCATCTATGTTGCTTCTCCAAATATCCCAACTTATCACAGTGGTCCTAAATAAATCCATTGTAAAGCCACTCTGAGAGCTGTTTGTCTCACTGTTTCAGTTTGCTTTAGTATTTTTATCAGAGGATTTGAATAAAGATGTAAATATCTCAGTTCTTAGTAATCTTTTTGAAATTTGTATATTTGTAAATGCCAACCTATATTAGACTCAAATACTCCACAAAAACTAGTAGATTAAAAGAGTTTTCAGAAAAGGATCAGTGGGTCCAAGCTAAGTTATCTTATGGTTTGTTCTGTATGTCAAATATGCATACATTCTCATGCAGGTTCATTTGATGCTGTAACTTTTAAAAGAACTAGTCGACAGTATAACCACAAAATACTGAGTCTGCCTCATTTTAACTATTCTCTCCCTTGCACTTTTATCCAGTCACAAATATTTGGTGCATTTTAAAAAGTTACTGTATTTTCTTCTCCTTTGCATGTATTATCTGAGTGAACAAATCTCAAGATTTCAGTCTTAAAGCTATACAGGCTGAGCATATCTAACCTGAAAATCCAAAATCTATTATACCCAAATCCAAGACTTTTTGAACACCTACATGATGCTCAAAAAATTTTAGATTTCGGAGCATTATGGATTTTAGGTTTTCTGATTATAGATGCTCAACCAATAAAACCTATACAAATATTCCTAAGTCAAAAAGACTCCAAAATCTCAAATGCATCCTTTTCCTGGCATTTTAGGTAAGAGATATTCAACCTGTACTTTGTCAAGCACTTTCTATTTTCCAGAAACTAGGTTATGTGCTTACCATACATTATCATTTAATTCATTTCTGTAAGACTTCTCTGCTTTCTAGATTAAAAAAAAAAAAAGTAAACCTCGAACAGGCTGTCATTTTCCTATAGCCTTACAGCTAGTGGTATAACAGGGTTTCAACCTCAGGAACATCTAACTTCATAACCAAAGCTCCTAACCACTGTGATGTTCTATCTCTTTGTCACTGAATTGATCCTTTTTAAGAAAATCCAGGGTTAGAATCATTCACTACTACTTTTCCTTTAGCATCTCAATTGTGTAACTAACTAATCAAGCCTCAGTATATTTTGAAGAAATGGAGAAAACATCTTTCAGTCAAAAGAAAGTATTCTTTATTTTGGTTTACCCAGAGAAATCATTACATCCAATGGATTTTAAGAACCTCCTGGGTAACCTAATCTTTGAAAATAATGTTAACCTGAATTTGTGCTCTAAAATAGCACCCCTTCAAAAAAACCCAAATGAATTTGGATTGACCTCACCTTAAAAGCAATTCAGGATTTGAGCTAAGAATCAACGATTTAAGCTAGGGAAGCAAAGGAGTGAAAAACAATATCCAGAGAAGTATTAAAACATGAGAAATTTTTCCAGGCCAAAGACAAATTTAAAATGTGGGAATATACCTCCCGACAGCTGTCTGGCTGAATAGACCCCTTGAGAAGCATACATACTATTTGAAGCATGAGGGTCAGATGTTGTTTTGATTGTAACACATGGTTCTTATTAAACTGAACACAGCCATGCCTGTGTGTCTAAAGCGTGGGTGCTCAGATGGCGGGTATAGACGACTGCCTCTACAGACCTTTAGCTGCAGTGTATCACAAAAGAAAATGCCTCAAACTAATGCCATGATTTGTTTCCCACAAAGTGGAGTGACTGGATTTTTACCCTGTCATCAGCTTTTCAAAACCCACAGGCGCAATGGTCTTGAATAACCTTTGTTAGGCTCCTCATGCATTATGTTCACAAAAGCTCCTCTGTAAATTGGTCACTTCAGTATTCTGACATTCTTGGTGTATTTCTTATGTTGGCTATAGTAGCACACACTGTACAGTCCCTGCTAAGCAATAGGTCTCACAAAAGCATGCACTTAAATAAAATACTGCTTTTTCCACTGTGAATTGGAGCGTCATGGCCTGAATTTTCAAATAAAAAAATTCAAGATGTGGTCTCTACCCACTTGTGACTCTCGGTAATGACCAGCATTATTGAGAATCCAAACTCTGATGCAGAAGGTGTTGTGTGTAGCACTCATTTCTGTGATCTACTCTTACATAAGTCATAGGGTAATTCTTGATTTTACTATGAAAAAAAATAAGAACAGGGTAAACACTAGTCCAAGTGATCAAAAATAGAAAGTGAGACTTAGGAACTGAACACCCTGTGAAACTCCAGCCAACTTAGGAATTCATTTATTTAGAAGAAAATTAAGACAGTAGAATTTCCTCTAGATCTGTTCCAGTTTTAAGCAATCCAAGAAATAGAAGCAGAATCTTTATCTCCAATCTTCAGAGACTCTGACTTGTTGTTTTACAGAATCTAGTTCCCAAATGGCTCAAGTGACCAGTATCACAGTCCTTCTCCATTTGAGGTTGTTAAATCTATGGCAGAGTGACATGGGCTTGCCTGACAGTTTGGGTGGTTAACAAATGCTAGCACAGAGCGTCTTCTCTGCCAGACCCTATTCTCCATCACTAAGTCCATGTCACAGGTGCAGAAATCAAAGGGCCCAGTTACTTGCCCAAAGCCACACAGAAATGGTAGAGGCAGGATTTGAACACCAGTGTTCTGGTACCAGAATGCTTCTCTTCACCTTTCAAAGATATTCAGAAATGTATTGTAACCTGAGTGAGCTTCTGGCCCTTGTCTGAGAGCTGGAAGGGTCTCATGTTTCCTCAGCAATACATTCAGTTAACTATTTGTACTGGGTTTTTTGTTTTTTTTTTTTTTTTTAAAGATGTGTCTTTCCGTCTGTATTAAATCTACCATTGATTGTCTCCATGGCAATCTTGTTGAATTCCATAGATTTGGATGGGCTGATCAAAGGAAGAAAATAAAAAGTCCACAGATAAGTATATATATATACTTGGTTAGGTATATGTCAGATGTCACTTGTAAAGCACCAGGAGAATGACATTGTACCTGCCCTCCCACAAGATACTGTCTAACCACTTTTGTAGAAGAGAAAATTGATTAAGGATTCAACATCGATGTCCCTGCCTCTGAGAGTCAGGTGGAGACCAGTGTTCTCATCTGATCTTGGCCTCACTGAAAGGTTGACTAAAACTCAGCCAAGAGGCATTGCAGGAGAGCCTGGGCACACCTGCAGTGGGCTGCCTGTGACTTCATGTTTTTCAGCCCTGCCTCATTCCAAGTGGCACATTCCTGCCCTGAAGAGGCTGACTCAGCCACTCAGCCCCAGTTAACTTTAATGGAAGACACGCTTCTAAATGTCTATGTAACTGTGGATTAGCTGCCTCTTGCAGCTGCAGATCCTTGTGGCTCCTCTTTCCCATGTAAAGATATGACCAAATTCCAGGGTTGTTTTTTTTTAATCCCCTCTTTATGGAGTGTCTGTTTGGCATCTGTCTCCAAGGAATATATAATTTCAGTGAATAATGATCTCACTTTTAGAAAAAGCCAAACATCGGAGACTCATCTAAATTAAAAACCCTAAGGCACACACCAAGCTGCCAGTCCTCAGAAAAATGTTTCTTCCTCATTATTACCTACCAAATTCACACTGGCTTCATGATGACACTGAGCTCCCTGATTCTGGCTAGTGTTTATGTGATGTGACTTCTATTCAAAGGAAAAATGGATCTGGAGACTCCCGTCAGGCTCTTAATGAAAAAAGGAGACACATGCCCACAACAGACTGGTCTTTCCTCATAACAAAGACGGCCCAGGAATGAAAGAGCAGCTTCAAAAGAAGGTTCTGGTTTAAATTCCAGTTTTAATAAGACTCTCTGTAATCGTGACCAACGGTGGAAAGCAACATAAAAACCATGACTAATTGCCACCTTGCAGCCAGCACCCCTGCCTGGATGCTATGGGCATTGCAGAGGAGCTGCAGCTGTGGCTGAGGGCCCAGTCTTCACCCCACCTCCTCACAGCCTTTCCCAGCCTCGTAGCCTCCACAAATAGCACTCCTCTGGCAGCTCTGAACAGCAGAGTCAAACGAGAGAAAAACGACATTGTCTTCTATCATTCACTTGCAGGAGGACATGAACAGTTTTGAATTGCGTGTGAATGTCTTAGAACCTTAGAATCTTGGAGCTGGAAGGGATCCTCAGTCATGTTTTCCAACCTCCCACCCCCTCACTACAGGATTTCTTTCTCAGAGCGTCCCTCACAATTCATTCAGCCCCCGTTTGTAAGCTTCTCAACAGGATGAGCTTTTTCCATCACAAGGCACCTTATTTTTTTTTTCTAATTACTAGCAGTCTTCCACATAATAAGCTAAAAGCTGCTGTGAAATAAATTAGCCCATCTGATGCTAGCTCTTTTCTCTGGAGACTATGGATTTTCCTTTTTGCATATACCAGCCCTTCAGCTCTGTCCTCTAGAGCAGAGATTGACAAACTACTATTCTGTTTTTGTAAACAAAGTTTTATTGGAACACAGTTATAACCATTGTTTTTGAGACAACAGAGTTCAGTATTTGCAACAGAGACCATAAAGCCTGTAGACCTAAACTACTTACCTTCTGGCCCTTCACAGAAAAAGTTTTCTGACCCCTGCTCAATCCAGAACAAATTTCCCCAAACTATCTGTTGTAAATTACCTGGGGTTTTGTTTTATTTTTATTTCTTGTCTGCCACAATACTTTTATAAAATTTAATGCACATGAGTTAGAAATATGAAATGTATAATTATGGAAAATACCAATATTTTAGTAAGGCTTTAGCAATACTAAATGTTTTAGTATTAGACACAAAATTACACCCCAAGGAATATGAGCAGAACAAATAGAAGAAACAGAAAATAGAAAAAAATGACAAAAACTGCTCACATTTTTATTGAACATGTGCATGATATGAAGAATTGTGATCCTACTCATAATTTTGTTATTCATCTATCTTAAGTAAATAAAAATTTTACATTGAGATGGCAACAAATTCCTCATATTAAATACTTGTCTATACATTTCGAACCATCACTGTAATCATGAATATGTAAGAATTTTAATGTGACAGTGAGTTTTTGTTTGTTATATAATTTTGGTAGAATGGACAACCACCCTAATCACAGGAATAATGTACATCTAAAATGTTTCTTTTTTGTTTTGTTTTAATACCAGTCAGAAACTCGCCTACAGAGTTCACTGATTAGAATGGAATTGAGATTTTAAAGCAGTTTCAAAACTGAGAGTTTTCCTTCAAATACCTGTTATTCTAATGAAACAGGTCATTCCATACTTTCAAAGTCCATCTAACACCCTCCTCATTAGCCATGTCTTGTAATTATAAAGTTGTAAATTTAGATTATCTTTATGTGGAACAATCAAGCCTATACATGAAGCACTGTGGGTTGTAGTAGATAAACCAATCTACCCTATGTGAAAAGACTGATCTGCCAATCTTGATCTTGGATAGCAAAGCCCTTGTCAAATGGGGACAGTCAATTAATGCCTACTCTCAATTTCTATGCCTGTCTCACATGACTGGGAAGTTTTGGGCCCCAGGCAACCCCCACCACACTTTGAGTTGCACTGTCTAGAGTTCCTTGTTTCTAAACCAAACACTGTTAGTTCTTTAGATATCCTTCACAGAACATAGTGGTTCCTAGATCCTTGCTCATCCTGATTGTTCTTCTCTAGAAATGTACTCCATAAATATAATATTTAGAAAAAGTCCATTGTTCCTGACTAATGTGACCAATGAGAATACAGTGGGCTTACCTGGCACAGTGGCGTATAACTATAATCCCAGTGATTCAGGAGACTGAGGCAGGAGAATAGCAAATTCAAGGCCAGCCTTGGCAATTTAGCAAGACCCTATCTCAAAATAAAATAAAAAGAGACTGGAGATACAGCTCATTGGTAAAGCCCCTGGGTTCAATCCCCTATATGGCAGAAGAAAAAAAGACACACTGGACTCTAACCTCCTGAGACTCTGGATCCTTGCTCTGATCACACATCCTAAGGTTGGTGTCTTCGGTAGTCATATTCCATGGTTAACCCACATTAAGATTAAATCTGCTCAAGCGCTCAAGGTTATTAATTGAAAGAGGAGTTGAATTAAGTATGTTTCATCCTATAAGATATCTTATAATTTATTTTTGAAGTTGGAGTATTTTTATATTTATTCATGCAGTTTCCACTTATCAACAAACCATTCTTCAATTCTGTTAAGATATTTATAGATCTCAATACAGGATAAATATCCCTTCCAAAATGCTGGGGATCAGAAGTGTATTTGGGATATTTTTAGAGTTTGAAATACTTGCATATATGTAATGAGATACTTTGGGGATGAGGCCTATACACCTTATAGGTAATTTATGGAATATATTTAGTAATTTTGTACACAGATGAAAGAGAATTTTATAGTACGGAATTTTCTACTTGTGGTATCTAAAGTTTCAGACTTTGGAGTATTTTGGATTTTGTCATCTTTACATTTTAAAAGCATGAGTTCTTCTGACTCATGAATTTATTCTTAAAATGCCCATAACCTTGAGTTATACCTCCTGAGATCCCTTCCTCAATTGCTTTCAGTCTTTTGAGCACACTCTTTCGTGAAGTTATTCAACCACTTACTAACAACACTCTAGCCGCTTCAAGCATAGTTAGCTGTCTCAGTCACGACAATTATTGTCAATTATCTTAATGAAATTCATATTTTCTGTATCCATAGTATGTTCATGATCTTGTATACCACATAGAGTCTTCATAAACACATCCAACTCCCAGAAATTCACACTTAGCATTTCTAAATAATCACAACAGTTTGTTTGTAACCTAAAAAACAAATCAGATGAAACCTGATAATTTCTTAAAAACTAAGATATTTCCAGAAATACTATTTGGGAGGCTACCATGCACCTGAACACTCTTCTGGGTCCCGAGTGTATAAAAGAAGCTGACAATGTACCAAGAAGCCATGCAAAACACACTGCAGATGAATTTAATGGGTCACAAAAAAAAAAAACACAATGTTTTAAAAAATGAAACAAACTAGACTATAGGTTGAGTTTCTCTTATCCAAAATGTTTGGGACCAGAAGGGATACAGATTTTAATTTGGGGGCATTATGAAAATATATGCACATATATAATGAAATACTTGAGGGACGGAATCAAATTCTAAACATGAAATTTATCTAGGCTTCATATATACCTTAGCCTGTAGGCAGTTTTATTCAATATTTTTAGTGTGCCTATGGTTTGACTGCACTCTATCACATGAGGTCAGGTGTGGAATTTTCCACTTGTGACATCATATAGACACAAAACATTTCAAATTTTATAATTTTAGATTAAGGATGTCCAACCTGGATAAAATATGAGAGTACAAACAAAAAGGGCTAATTATTATAGCATTTTTTTTTGCTTTAATGTAATATACATATAAACCCTGAGTTGTGGTGGAAAATGAATCTCTTATTGTATGTCACAGTCAATAATTTAAAAGATCTTGTACTAGTGGAAAAAACAGACTCAGAATTTTATGCCATTGGGGATATACTATGATAATTTTATGCTTCTCCTTTAGCAAAAGTAGAAGGGGTGCTTTTTTTCTTTTTTATTTGTTTTGTTTTTATTTTTTATTGCTTTGGTTCAAAAAAACTTAAATACTGCAGAATTTCCCTGACTCTTTGCCTCCTTTTTCAGGGATTTAGCACTTTCCACATGCCTCGGTTGGGTTGTAAATGTCTTCCTCTTGGCCAAATCTAGTGGAATAAGCTCCTAAAGCCCAGCAGACATGGGTGCATTCTAGCCCCTGTCCACAGAGCCCAGCTTGGCATCTCTCCTTAACCTAAATAAAGGAGTCTTTATCCAACTAGTATGTGGTTTGCTAGCATCAGTAACCAGGCTTGAGAGAGTCCTTGGAACCAAAATTAAATATTATAGTTTCTATTTTTAAATATCTATATTTCTCTAAAAGTGGATCCTTCTTTTGCCTTTTCTAAAACTCTTTGTTGAAGGGATGTTTTCAGAATACTTACTCAATATCAACTTCTTACAAGTTTCTTGAAATGTGATCTGAAAATCTAACAGCTCAGCCTTCAGCTATCATATTGCTTTATACATAAATGTCCCTCAGATGTTGGTCTTTATGATATTAATCACAGACAAAGAGGAAGTTGAAAGTATCATAAGAAAAGCCTATGTTGAGTCATAGTCCCAGAATCTTGCCTTTTTTCCACGTGTACAATTACAATTTCTAAAATTCTTTCACCAAAGCTCCATACAACTTAGCTTTAAAAATCAAAGTTAAGTTCCCCACTGTGAAGACAAAGTTGGAATGCCTGTTTGTACCTTGACTTTGTACTTTCTTCCATCTTATTCTTGAATGTTGGAATTTTGTCCAACCCAGATAGAATCTAGATTTTGAAAGATAGAAATAATTGAAACATGGAAAAATGACAAGTAAACAAATAACTCACATCAAGGGACCATCATTACCTTATTTAATTCTCTCAGCAAACATATGAGGCAGAGTCTATTTTTGATTATACACATAATGGAAATTTACTGTAGTGAGGGTAAGTAACTTGTACATTGTTGCATAGCTCTTAACTGATGCCACTACCGTCAGAACCAGGTCTTAGAACTGGATGACAAAGTAATTTAAAAAAAAATGTTAAGCAATTATTATGGGTTTGAGATTTGGAAGGATATAAATATAAGCAAAATAGAGAAAGACAGGTCCTGCTCTTGTTGACCTTCCCTGTAACAATTGAGAGTGGATGCTGTCAAGCTGAAGGCTTCTGTTCTGGGAAATTATACATCATCATATTTGGAGTGTACTGTGGAAAGCCACTTAGTTGTGAAACATGCTGGAGACAAGAATTCTCGCCAGGTTTTTACTGTAATAGATTTAGAGAGAGATGTCAGGGTCCTAGACAAGGGAGTGAGAGTGAAGATATGAAAAAGGTAACAGATTTGAAAATCGTTTTCACATAGGGTCTTGGTGGTGTGCATGGTGAAAAGGGAGCAGGAGCTGACCCTTCATTTTGAAAGTACATTATATGCTCTCCCTCAAGGTCCATGCTGGACCCAAAGATATGCAAAGATAAATAAGATCATCTTTGCCCTCAGGGAATGAAGTCTGTCATCTCTCAGGTGTTGCAGATTCAGGCAAAAACAGGTGAGGCCAGTGTGTCAGATACAGAAGGCAGGACATTTTTGCAAAGCCCTGGGGACTGACCACAACTTAGAGGGCATGTCCCTCCAAAGGCATTCCTGCAGAAGGCAGAGCAGCTGGATTGAACTCTGTTCAAATGTGATCTCCATATTGACTCCCAAAATTCTACTCAAAGAAATTTAGTACATGATTTTGCTGTTAATTTATACAGGAAATATACCATAAGAATCAAGTTTGGGAGACTGTGGTTAAGGATTGTTAGTTTTAAGATCTGTTGACATTGAGGTTCCAAAGAAATTACCTAAAGAATAAGGGTCCTGGGACTCAGCAAAGAGATATGGGGAAAGAAGTAAGTACCCTTTATAGCAGAGTTGAGCTTTTTTGTGAAAAAGAGGGCTTCAGGTGTTTTATATTTAGACTGTCTAGTCAGATGGTAATTACACCCTCTTTGTAATCAGGAAAAAATTGTTAGAGAAGAAAGAAGGATGCAAAAATTCTATGAAAATGGAAACTTGGCAAGTTAAGAAGAGGTCCTCTGGGGAGGAAGAGGATTTATAATGAAAGTGGAGGAGGAGCCAAGCAGGGGTGCCAAGGAACCCCAGCATAAGTGCCAAAAGTGAGGGGTAAGGAGGTGGAAGTGCTGTGCCTGCCTAGGTCACCTTGCTCCTTGTAATGAGCCTCCTCCCTGATGTTTTGCAGGGTGACGACTCAGATGAGGAAGATCTTTGCATCAGCAACAAATGGACTTTCCAGAGAACCAGCCGCAGGTGGTCTCGTGTGGACGACCTGCACACACTATTCCCTGGGGGAGACAGAAATGGGTCACCCGTGGGCCCTATGATGAGAAACACAACCAGCAGTGAGAGCGTCCTCACAGACCTGAGTGAGCCCGAGGTCTGCTCCATTCACAGTGAAAGCAGCGGAGGCAGTGACGGCCGCAGTCAGTCAGGCCAGTACTGTGCTGACAGCCCAGTCATGCTGGAGGCCACCCTAGTCAGCAGTGGCCTCCCACAGTCCCCCCGAGACACTCTCAACCACCCTTTGCACCCCAAGAATGAGAAATCCAACAGGGCCAGGGCGAAGTCGATTTTAAAACGCATGGAAACACTCCGAGCTAAGGGAGTCCATGGGAAGCATAAGGGGCCAGGGCGGACAGGTGGCCTTGTGATCAGTGGACCTGTGTTACAACAGGAGCCCGAGTCCTTTAAGGCCATGCAATGCATCCAAATACCAAATGGAGATCTCCAGAACTCACCCCCAGCCGCCTGCAGAAAAGGGCTTCCATGCTCCAGTAAATCCAGTGGTGAGAGCAGCCCCTCAAACAGCAGCAGTGGGGTGAGCACGCCATGCCTGAAGGAACGAAAATGCCACCAGGAGGCCAACAAGCGTGGGGGCATGTACTTGGAGGACCTGGATGTGCTGGCAGGGACAGCACTGCGGGATACAGAAGACCAAAGCCACACTCATGGGTTTCACTCCCAAGAGAATTTGGTGGTGCATATTCCCAAGGATCATAAACCAGGAACATTCCCCAAGGCACTTTCTATCGAAAGCCTGTCACCCACAGATAACAGCAATGGGGTTAACTGGAGGACCGGGAGCATCTCCCTGGGCAGGCAGCAGGGCTCTGGCGGGAGGGAGCCCAGGCTCATGGCATCCTGCCACAGAGCAAGCCGAGTCAGTATCTATGACAATGTCCCCGGCTCCCATCTGTATGCCAGCACAGGAGATCTGCTGGACTTGGAGAAAGATGACCTGTTCATCTTGGATGACATCCTGCAGCAAGTCAATGGACTCCAAGAAGTAGTGGCTGACTGGTCGAAAAATGTCTTGCCTGAACTGCAGACTCATGACACGTTGGGTGGGGAACCTGGTTTACCTGCCTTGCCATCTCCTAATCAGATCACCTTAGATTTTGAGGGCCACTCTGTCTCAGAAGGTCGGACAACACCCAGTGATGTAGAAAGAGACGGAACATCTCTGAATGAGTCTGAGGCCCCTGGGGTCAGAGAAAGGAGGGATTCTGGTGTAGGGGCTTCTCTGACGAGGCCAAACAGGTAGGTGGCATGGTTTCATAAAATGGAGTTTCATTCATTTTGTAAGAGTTATGCTTTGTTTATTTGCTTTAATAAATATATAGAGAATCTACAGAAAGCCTGATACCATTCTTGGGTGATACCATTCTTATGTGGCTTAGAATTATTTGAACAGAAGTGAATCTTTTGTACAGATGCAGTAACCAAATCCATGTCAAAACACATTTATTTCTCTTTACCCTTTATTTCAATCTTAGTTTTATTTTAAAAAAAATTATTTTGAGCTTCTTATTTGCAAAGCTCTTTTCTAGGCATCCACATGGGGAATGACAGACAACTGAGGCACAGTCCCTGTGCACAGATGCTTCCCAGTATTAGTTAAAATGTTTCTACTTCCAAAATTAAACTCTTTAATCCCATGAGAAATATCTGAGATCTAAGGTGGGTGCCTCATAAACTGGTTTTGCTTTAAGATGCTGATTATAAACCATGTAAAAGCTGGTTTACAAAGATTATTTCAGAAATACCCTAAAAAAAATGGCCCTGGGAGGGTCTAACTAGTAGAATCACTATCACTGTGTGTGTGGCTGGCTCTGGTTGAAACAGTGCTTGGTCTTAAGGCTCATTGATATGTTGTCATCTGAGCCTTCACTTTCAGGCTCCATCTCAACATTGTCCAGGAGTTAGACAAAGAGGCCCAGAAGGAAGCATGAAGTGGTCTACAGCCCCCAAATATCTGAGAGCACTCCTTCTCTGCTCACCCTCCTTCTATGTCTCTGTCTCCATCTTTCTGTTTCCATTTCTGTCTCTTTTCCTTTTTCTGTCTTTCAGTCTCTGTCACTCTCTTACACACACACACACAAGTCTCAAGTTCTCAATATTTGGGAATAAACAAAAATTATTGAATCATTTATTTGAACCTCATAACAAAACTGATAATTTTTCCAACTTGGAAAAAAAACAATTTTTTATCTCAATTCTATACATTTGTGTTGTCGATTACATTTGTTCTGTGATTTTCTTGGCTCAGAAAAGGTTTTGATTAGCTGCTTATAGATGAGGGATATCCTGTGTTTCCCAGTACCGAGTCCACTTTGTGACTGGCTTCTCTGATGGTCTTTCTGCTCAAGGCGACTCCGATGGAACAGTTTCCAGCTCTCACACCAGCCCCAGCCATCCCCGGCGTCACCCCACATCAGCAGTCAGACCGCCGGTCAGCTGAACCTGCTCCAGCGCTTCTCACTGCTCCGCCTCACAGCCATCATGGAGAAGTACTCCATGTCCAATAAGCATGGCTGGACATGGTGCGTAGCACGTTCACAGTGGGATTGTTCGCTCACAGCTAAGTATGCGATTGCAAAAACTTCAGTGTTTGCATTCTGATGTCTGAAGAATCCATTCACTGCCTGTCCTGGCGCTGTCCTTGAAGTAATGCACGGAGTTCTGTCTCCCTGTCCGCCTTCTGGGCAGGCGCAGCTCGGGTGTGATGTAGCCTGCAGGAAGCATTGCTTTATTTGTAGCTCTCAGTTGGTTTCCAGGGAAGGCAGTCAGACTCCAAGACAGAAAAAAGAGACAAGTAAAGGGTGATTAATTGTGAACAGAGGAATTAAAAATAAACTGACTATAAAATAATTCTGGCAGTCTGCAGAGAAACATGTGTCACTTGTACTTTCTCACCCAATGCAGAACTCACTACTTAGAACATTGATTGACTCAAAGTGCATTTGATTCTTCAAATACATTTATGCTTTTATTTCATTTGAAAATTAAAATGAGAATATCCAGTGAACCTTTGTAATTAAGGAATTGACTTTAAATCATATGTTGGAACTTGTATATAGATCTATTGTAGATGATTTGGTGAATTTGAAAATGTGTCAGTTTTTGTCCCTATGTTATATATTATGTATGTAGATGAATCCATGGTGCTTTTATAAAAAAAAATATTTTAGAAGTTTATAAATTGCATGGTCAAATTAATATATGCTTATGTATTAAAATTCCTTTAAAAAATGCAACTGGCTCCAGAAAACTAAGAACATAAACAAACAAACAAACAAACAAAAAATGTGGTTTATCTTCTCTCCTCTCTTTTTTCCTGCAACCCCAGCCAGATTTCTTGTTCCTGTTGGAATTTTTACATGTGTTTAATTTTATTCTGTTGGGGACTTTTAAGTATTCATCACTTGAGAGATGTGGCAATAACAATTCAATTGGAAAACTGTCCATTTGACTTGAAAACAAAGCTACAAATACATTCTGCAAACATGACTCATGCTGTTTAGTAGACATAACATAGGCAAGGGCCACACGTAGTATTGCCATGCAGTGTGATTAATAGAGAAAGAATGTTGAATTCTCCCTGTGTCTCTCGGGTATTCCAACAAGAGCTTGGCTTCCTTTCTCTTGCTTCCACAGCCTCTCCCCACGGTGTGCCCCAGGGGGCTTGCATGACCTGGTTTCTGTGAATTCTAGGTCAGTTCCAAAGTTCATGAAGAGGATGAAAGTTCCTGATTACAAAGACAAGGCTGTCTTTGGTGTTCCTCTCATAGTCCACGTCCAAAGAACGGGACAACCTCTGCCTCAGAGCATTCAGCAAGCACTGAGATATCTTCGTAGCAACTGCCTTGATCAGGTATGGCTGTAAACCTAGATTTGGACTTGGATTGATGGAATGCCAGACTGAGTTAGATCTGTTCACTCCCAGGCAAGATCTGCCCCACCAAACCTAAAAGGCATTACAATCTTTACACGCTAAAATTTAATTTGACTAGGCTCAATCCCTGCCAAGCTATGTGAGGATGTTTCCTCATGACTACTGGGGTGACACCTTGAAGTGACTGCAAAAAGTTAATGTTAATATTTGTACCTCTGATGTCTAATTTACATTCCCAAGAAACTGAAAGGTAAGCTATGTCCTGCATTTCTTTTTTTTTTTTTTTTTTTTTTTTTTTTTTTTTTGGTACTGGGGATTGAACCAGGAGCATTTTACCACTGAGCTACATCCCCAATCCTTTTTACTTTTTATGAGAGAGGATCTTGCTAAGTTTCTGAGGGTCTAACTAAATTGCTAAAGCTGACCTTGAACTTGCATTCCTCCTGCCTCAGCCTCTTGAGTGGCTAGGATTACAAGTATGTACCACTGTGCCCAGTTTGCATTTGCTTTTTAATTATAGTCTCAATGCCACCACTGATTTCACAGCATGCTTTTATCCCTCTCATATTATTTTTGTAAAAAAATAAATTGGTTTTTGTAACTCCCTTTATTAATTTTTTGAAGCAGCATATGACCAGGAAACCTTAAACCAAAGACAGATTTATTTACATCTTTTTAAAATGTACAAGTAAAAAGTGATAAAAAATATGAAAACAGTATGATATAAATCAAATATCCTTTCATCTAAAAGAGTTGATTAAAGCTTTTGTTATACAAAATATTTAGAGATTATTTTCTGCCTCTGAGACTATTTGAGGACCATAATAATGGTGGACTGTGATTAAGCCCAAAGTGAAATCCATCCTGTAATTTACAAAGCAAAGCCTTTGCTTCTCCAAATTAACACCCATTAGTTTCTTAAACATTCTGTCCAAAATAAAAGTCATGTCCCTGCTTCATAAATTGCAACCTTGAGTAGTGGATGTATTTGCAGGCAACAAAGTAACCATCTTTGTTCACCACGCTTTTTAAGGCATGCAGAGAATATGTACCAACCTTAGATTATTCAAAACTTTTATTGATTTGCCCTTGACCATGGCTCAGTTGACACAAATGAGCTGAGTTACATGAGTTCAAAGATCTTGGCACTGATTCTTGTAGAGAACCAAAACTGAAAGCACACATACAGGCAAGATGATTTCTGAATAAATTAAATACTAGATTTTGGTGGAGCAAAGTAGGAGTAACTTTGTCATTTGAAATCATCTTTGATTTAACTAGAGACATTATGCTCTTCAATCTTTTGCATGTCTAATCTAGAGGATATATATATATATATATATTTTTGCATATTTGGATGTCATTGTAGAAGGTGGAGTGGCTGCTGTTGTTGCAATGATGATGTTTTGGTTTTGTGAAATGAATTTAATAACATGCTTCTTATTTCTGAGAAATAAGGGCAGCAAAGTGCTTAAAAATAAGATGCTATGAAAGAGAATATTTTGCTCCAAAAGTATGGTCAGCTATTACTTATCAGAAGAAAATATATTAAGAAAAAACAGTTGTTGGTTCAGGAATGCCCAAAGGGAATACGGTTCATCTATGCCATCAATTGAATAACAGTAACCTTTCTTGACTGTCCAGCAAGTTCTGCTTTCACTGCTTCATTTAATCCTAGATCTACCCTAGGTAGTTAATACCCCAGCCTCCATCAAGGAGCCAACACCTGTTTATAAATCTGTGTAACTCCAGAGTTTAACTCCCATGTTTAACCACTGCATTCTACTGTACTGTTAGAATTGCTTTTCCCTTGTGAACTTTGGGGTGGCTCCATCTCCAGCATTAGGGGACACTTTAAGAGTTGGTCCTGTGGAACTCATTGATGAATCTGGTCTGTAGATTTTGTTGATGATTTTGGTCATTACATCCTGTTGTGTTCTTTATCTGAGAATAGGAGGAATAATTTTTTCCTAAGGCACTATCCAGCTCTTGAAAACAGTGTGCTGCTTCTGGATAATTTGTCTGTTTTTTATATTATAGACACAAGGATCATTCAATTGAGTGTGTTTTCCTCTCTGTACTGACTGCTAGGAAGCTTGGAGCCAAATGCATATTCTGTCTGTAGTAAATATAGATAATTTTTAAATGAATTTTCTACATCAGCCTCATACCTAGTTTCAGTTACTATTTTCTATCTTTATTTTCCTCTTGCTGTAATTTTTCTATTATTCTTAATTTGACTATATCTTATTGTATTTTATGTATCATTGTAAGTCACCTTAAAGTCCTCCTTGAACAAAGTTGGGTATAAATAAATAAATTATAATACCACTATTCTACTCTCTACCAGCTCCTAAGTATAGAATGGGAATAGAAATTTAGAAATTCCTGCCCAGTGGAGATTTTTAATAATATGCATCACCAGCATTACTGCTATGATTTGACCCAGTCTCCCTTTCAAAGCAAAAGTTGCATGGAGAGAAGAAAGTCATAAACAAAGAGGAGAGTGGACACCAAACCCTCCTCCAGCTCTGCTCACTGGCTTGTCCCCAGTGTCCATCTCAAGTATCTAACTAATTTTTAAGTCTGGAAGAATTCCATGTTATAAAACTGTACAGACAAAGCCTTGTAGGAAAGAGATTCATTTCAAGGGCATAAAGACTGACTCTAAATGTAACCAGACTGAGCCAACACAGTGTTTCTCTTGTTATCAGTCACCAGGAAGAATCTGTAGGGTGGCAGATGGACTTTTGCTGCAGTCAATTCCCACCTTAATTCTGGCAGGGTTTCCTTCCTCATCTCATTGTGGGGAACATGCAGAGGTCACCCTTCAGATCCCTGTGGGAAAGGAAAGTTGTCTAAGAAGGAAGCTGAGGAAAACTGGAGAAATGAAGAAGAACCAAAAAAAATCCAAGTAGAAGAGGAAGACTGTCTTAGAGAATTAACAGCAAGTAAAAATTAATGAATCCAAAAAGACAGGGAATTAAGAGAAAAAAGGAAGAAGAGAAACATTAGATGAATGTCCCTTGTAGGCCAGCAGCACTTCCTTGGAGAAGAGATTCAGTGTCTGCACGGGATCTTGAAATCTCAGCCCTACCCATAAAAGACAGGAAGGTCTCCAAATATCCTTCTTCTAAGCCATGCTTGAGCAGGAAGCACCATCCAAGTCCTGCCTAAGGCTCTGTCCTTGATCTGAGGGAAGGAGGATTCATGCAGGGAACTGGACCACTTCCCCTCAAGCTCAGAGTTCATCTGGAACATAAGCACTCATCACAGAGTTGATTCCAGCCCCACAAAGTCCTGAAGCAGTGCCAGCATTTCACCTCCCACACTCCCCACTGCAGAGCAGTTTATATATGATGAAGCATAGCTTTTCCATTTGTGCCCTTGCAGATGGCTGTAGATGAAATGAGGAAGTTTAGCCTTCAATTATGAACCATTTGTATTCAGACATAGCAGTGCGTGAGAGGAGCCTCGCTTTGTTGTCTGCGCCTTTATTTCTGCCCTAAATCAACAGTGCACAGAAGCATAGGTTATACTGGTTCCTGATGAATATGAAGTCAGCTCAGTGCTCAAAATCAGAACCCGCTGCACACTCTCCCTATGAATCTCTCCCTTTCTGAATAAACCCAACCTTTCTTCATTAGCTGAGCAAATTTCTAAAGAAGAGGAAATGGAAGTCCTGATAAACATCATTAAGCCCAGAAAGGATTAGCATAAACAGGATGCCAAGAAGGAGATTTAATATTATTTAGATGAAATTTGAATTGTAATGCAGCACTCATGCCCAACTGCTCCTTCTAATGGAGCAGTAAGTTTTAAAAGCCTAATTATGCTGGGAAGGCACTTCATGCTCAGTGCCAGGGTCCTCTAATCCGCTGCCTGTTCATCACTTTGCCTATCTCAGATATAACGAAGGATGCTTGCTCTGAGACTATCGATTTAAATCGTTCCCTCAGCCCTTGGTTTCTCAAAGCTGGGTTTTTAGGTGGAAGACAAAAGGGAAGAGAGGAAAACTAGATGAAGGGAACATTATGCACTATTCATTCTTTCGTTCTTCTTAAGGTGGAGCAAGAGAGTGCAGGCAAGAAAGATGTTTATAAAATGAATTTTGCATTGCTGACCATCATTGCTTCCTTTTTTGAGAGGATATTTGAGCTGGGCTTTGAAGACATAAAAGCAGGACGTGTTATGTAATTTGTGGGGCCCTAGACAAAATGAAAATATGTGATTCCTTCTTCATATATTACTGAGAATTTCATAACAGCAACAGTAGAACTTGTGTGACTGCCCAGATTGCCCACCTGACAGTGATAGACACAGAGGTAAATGAAGGACATAGGCCCTCTTGGGTCTTGCTCCTAGTGAAGCTAAGGGAATCTGAGTTCACTTACCACCATCAACAATGATGAGGATGCCCTCAGAAGCAACCCGTTTCTTCAATCTCCATTTATTACATTAAAAACAAAAATCTTTAGTTATCCCCGTGTTGAAAACTTTTTGGAAAAAAAAAATGGCTATCAACAATCACTTGTACCACCATGTGGTCTTGTTCTATGCAGATAGATAGGAGGCACTTTTCTTTGGTCTCAGGACCTCTACACCATTAGAAGTACCTTCTACTTACTGTGTCCAGATGCTTTCTACAGCAACCAGGAGAAGCCTCAGCCCAAAATAGCTTGAATGTTAGGAAATTCATATCTCACATACAGACAATAATGAGTCAGAAAACAGGATGGTGCCAGAGTTAGTTCATTCATGAGTTCATCAATATCTTTGGAGACTGTAGTTCTTTCCATCTTTCCCGTCTGCCTCTTTAGCTATTGCATCTCAAATCTAGACCAATTTGAGACCACTTTTCCTTTATTAGGTTTAGGACATTTCCTCTGGCTTCCAACAGAAATCCATAGAACACACAGATATTTCCCATGTCCCCTGGAAGGTAAGCGCAGTGTGGGAATGTTATTGTCAGAATTTGAAACAAAACAAATAAATCTTTGACAACCCTGAGACATCCTATGAGCTCAAAGTCAGAACAAACAGCTCAGAGCCTGCCACTGGAGAGCCCCAGACATGTCTAAAATAATTAAAATAACAACATTTGCCGAAAAGAGAAAGAAACTTGGAATCTGAACAATACAAAGAAAACACCTGTGGGAAGTGTATGTGCATGCACATTAGTATGAACCTAGAAACAGAGCTTGAAGGACACAGTAGACAAGAGAAACATGCTCAGCAATTTAAACATAAACACTCTTTTTATAGATCTGATCAATATTGCTCTGCTGTTTAAAAAACATAGGAATTCTTCTCAAATGAAATAATACCAACTCACATGAGGATAAATATTTGTGACTTACACTTAAGAATTCACCTTCAGGGCATTGAGATTCTGAAAACTCCCATGCAGCACAGTTCTGTGATGTACAAAGTCCTGGGCCTTCTTCCAAAATTAAAAACTCAAAATGTAAACAAACACAAGATGCATCTCACTTCAATAATCACCCATCTGATATCTTTTATTTTTCTTTTGACAATGCATGCTTTCTTCTCATGCACTTTGATGAAACATGGAGTAGTTGCCAGATAAAGAAAGATAACTTTTATTTAGATTCTTTATGGAGAATAAGCTAAGCATAGCAATTTTGCATTTTCTAGATACTTCAATCTTTAAGAATAAAAAAAAAAGTATTGAAGATTTAAAGTGATAATATGTCTGAATATCCTGACCTGTGAAATTAGGGTTAGGATGATAAGCCTTGGAATGCGAAGAAATATTGCTAAGATTCTGTTTTTGTGACCACAAAAAGCAACTCTGTATAATTTCCCCTGTGATCCATGTAGCTGACATATACAAAAACCTGGGTGTTCTCTAATGGCCTTGAGTTCTTCCTTTGCTTTTACTGCAGTTCAAAAGAACTGGGGTTTTAGGGCTGCTCTCATTTATAGCAACAATCATGAGAGCCTTTGTCAGACACCTGAACTTGGGTCAGGGCCCAGGTGCGATCTTGGCACACAGAGGAGCTGGCGAGACAACCGTGCTCATATTTTCTTCATTGCCAACTCTGGTGCCACTATCTACCATCCAGCCACTTGGGAATGTTCCCACCTTTGCATAAGTGGGCCAACCTCAGAGCCACTGAGGAATGAAAGGAGTAGAAAATAAAGATTGAAAAAACCGAGTTTTGAAAAACTTGATGCCCTCCAGGCATTTAAAATGATCAGACATTCTTTCACTGTAAGCCAGAGCTCCCAGGAAAGCTCAGTTCTTTTTATGGATGGAAGCAAGTGCAGGGTGGGGAGGGCTTCTCTCGGGCCTGGGCTTAACCTGCCCAACCAGGCCAGGATCTTCACTCTTGCAATGAGGGCTCTGCCTACCTCACTCATCCCTATTCAGGCCATTATTTTTTTTGTTTCTTACTTTTCTGTTTATTTGTCAAGCAGGGAGGTGTTTAAGTCCTAGAGGTGAAAAAAGACTGACATGATCATGACTGAGTAAAAGCCCCCCAATTGTCATTCTCAATAGAGGGGTCTACATACAAAACAAAGTGGAGTAGTAAGTGCCAGGCATAGGAGCCACAGACATCATGGTGCCAAGGATTAAGCAAATAAGACCCTAAATCAAATTATGTACTTATAATAATGTTTTCTTACATGGGCATATTCCCTATAGACTTCTCTTTCAAGGGGTATTAAATATGGTTGCTTATCTTGGACCCTTCCTTCCACCAAGCACCTTACTCCCAGGAAAATTTTCATTGCCCAGACTTTCTCAAAATCCCTCTGAAAGTTTAAATGCTAAAGGGCAGGGAATATTGTCTGCTCTGCTCCCTAATGACTCCTAGCAAAAGAATGCCTGGCACATAGTAGATGCTTAATCACTACTTTTTGAATAAGTGAAAACAATATTGACATCTGCAGTGTGCCAGAACTCTACGGGTCACACAGCAGCTTCACATATGTTTTCTCATTCAGTCTCCACAACAGTCCGGGGCAGTGGGGTCTTATTCTTATCTTCACTTCACAGGAGAGACATCATTGTTCAGCTTTGCCTGTAGTAGCTACAGGAGTATTCAGAATTGTGAATAAAAATGCAATTCTAGCTCATTCAGTTCTGGTCCCAAGCCTTCTGGTGTCAGGGAAAGGAGAGCTCAGCTCATGTGTCCTGATGGCTCCTTTCAGGTGGGTCTTTTTCGCAAGTCGGGAGTGAAGTCTCGAATCCATGCCCTACGTCAGATGAACGAGAACTTTCCCGAGAGTGTCAGCTATGAAGACCAGTCCGCTTATGATGTGGCAGACATGGTGAAGCAGTTCTTCCGGGACCTTCCTGAGCCTCTTTTCACCAACAAACTCAGCGAGACCTTCCTCCACATCTATCAATGTAAGTGGGGGTCATACCAATCAGTGTTCTCATGTGCATCCAAACCATTTAAAAAAAAAAAAAAACCCTATAGATTGAATTTTAACACATGAATCCATAAAGAAGGGTGTAAAAATTATAGCCCTAATCTCCTCTCCAGAAATAACACTTTGTTCAGAGTTTGGTGTAGAATCTCCACAACATTTTTTATGCACTGGAAAATATCTTTTTGACATCAAAATATTTCTTCTCAATATTGAGAGCTTTCTTGGTGTAAGATCTCAAACTAACTTTCAATAATATACTTTCAAGAAATTTGAAATGATAAGGGGACATGGTCAAATTTATTTTGTATTTGGGTATTTATTAAAACATTTAATTTTTTAAAAAGTACACATTTTCTTGGGATATAGGAAATTTAAAGCTGAATGTATTAAAATAATAGAAATTTTTAAAAAGCAGATATATTTTAATTGGTGAAAAGCAAGCAAACCAAATCAACGCTTCAGCTGAATGCAACTAATTCATATTTTCACTTGGAATTTTTTTTAAATAATGTTAAATCAATAGTTCTCAGAGCAAAGCCACTATAGTCAAAATAATTATTCAAAATAACAACTGCTGATTAAAAATCCTATCCTGCTAAAGGTAATTGTAAAGGGAGATTATTAGAAACAAACATGTAAAGCCAGGTGCAGTGGCGCTCACCTGTAATTACCAGTGACTTGGGAGCCTGAGGCTGGAGGATCAAAAGTTTCAGGCCAACTTGGGCAACTTAGCGAACCCTATCTCAAAATAAAAAAGAAAAGCAAAAGGGTTGGGAATGTAGCTCAGTGATAGGGTGCCCCTTTATTCAATCCCCAGTATTAAAGGAGAAGAAAAGAAAAAAAGAAAGATGTGAATCTTTTCTAGAAATGATAACATTAGAACTATGGATTGCTTTCATAGCCCAAGTCCCAATTCCTTATAGTGGGGGACAAGAACAGTTGGCCAGTGGACTTTCAGTTTACAGCAAAATATACCTAAAATTGGTCTTGATATGGAATTGACCCAATTTGAAGATCCCCACTGTAGGGATTTCTGTACTAAATATGTTTAAAGAGTGTATAATATTACAAATTCAAAAAGGATTGTAATTAGTACCACTTGTAGAAACAGAATAAAGTGGTGACCCACTAAATAAATATTATTTTCTCCAAGTGAATAGCTTAAGTTGAAATAATGATACACATTGCTAGAGCCTAAACACAGGGTGTTCATGAAAGGGCTGCTGAGAGGTCAAACACCATTTTTCAGTTAAGCCTCCCTATGACTTGGAAGTATCCCATATGAGTCTTGACATTTAATCAGGTCTGGGGCTGAAGTCGACACTAGTGTACATCTAAAGCTAGATTATTTCCAAGAGATAAATGTCTTTGGCTCTTTCTGAGATATAACCAAAAAGCCAGATCAAAGCAGGGCTTTATTTTAGCTGAGCAAACATTTACGGAGTGGGATTTATGGACAGGGTGTGGTGTGGAGCGTGGCAGAGCATATGGATGCTGCCTGAGACTCACGCTCTGCTCTTAAGGATCTTACAACTTAAAGAGACGAGACATGAACATAAATGACTGCAATACAACAAGGTGGGAAAAATAACACAAAAAGGTTACAAAGACAAGTCCAAGAAAGCTGAGATGAGTGACGAGGACTTGGAGGAAGAGAAAATGACACCCAAAGGTTGAGATATGTGAGGAACACATGCTAGGTGAAGCAAGTGGCATGAGCATGTGTCAGAGCAGCTCAAGGTTTTGTCTATCTGTCCTGAGGGGTACTAAATGTACAACTTTTCAGATGACACTGAAAAATTAGGCCAGGATCACACAAGGAAAGCATTGAAAATTAGAGCAGAGGTCTGTATTTGACCCATTAAGCATTGGGGAACCTTCAGGTATGGTTGAGGGACTTACCAGTTATGATGCTCTCTACTGCAAAAAACAACCAAAAGTCCAACAAACAACTGTTTAAACAATAAGGACATTGTATTGTCTCACTTGACACGAAATCAGAATTAAAACATTGCAATGTTAAGTAATTCTGCAACTCAGTGATGCCAGGGCAAAGTCAGCCTCTCTTGGCTTCCTTTTGAGGTCACAGTATGACTGCCACAACTTATAATTGTTATGTCTTCATAAAATCACATTCAAAGGCATAGAGGGGCAGGGAGTCCTCCTTGGGCATATGTCTCTTTTTATCAGGGAGATAAATCTTGCAGAAGCTTTATGTCTTCTTCTCTAAGTCAGACAATGAAACGAGGAATGGGATTATCATTTTTGGTTTAAGCCAGCACAGTTCATCCCTGAACAGAATGTATGTTTTCTTAGGAAGAAAGGGAAGAATGAGTATTGAGTATGGAGCCAACCTTGTTCTTGCCATGAAGGTGAAAGTTGGTGAGGACTGTACTTTTGATCCATGAATGTGCAAGTGGTGTGTAGGAGGTATTTCATAGGCAAGAATGGAGGGCACGAGAGCTGACGCACTAATGGAGGCTCTGGATTACTTACTGTGACTTCCAGCAGTGAGATTAGAAACTGGAAACAGGAAAGTCCATGGATAGGCCCTGCTGTCAAAGATTCCAGAGGACTCTTGTGGGAGAGAGGAACAGTTCCCCTCCCAGTTCTCCAGAGAAGTTCTGTTTTTCAACTGTTGGGCTTTCATCAGCTGATGAACATAAATAAGGTGTGGAGTGGATCCTGAAGATATTTTAATCCCACCAGTCTATGAGAGAGGAAAGGATGGAGAGATTAAAGACAGCCCTACAGTTGTATGACTCGACAACGGAGAGAATGTGGACATGAAGAGAAGGGGAGCTCACTTGTGGGGAGAAAGAAGAAAGGTTTAGAATAGAGAGGATGCTGAGAGTGAAGGACTGATGGCCACCTGGCTATAAATTCTCAGCACTTAGAAAGGCAGATCTCCAATGGTCTCCAAAGAGCCAAGAAAGGCAGGAACCACAGCAGTGTCATGTGTAACCGAAAGGTCACAGTTGAAAAGGTTCACAATGAATGTGAATTGAGGGATTAGTAGTTACCTTCTCAAGCCTTTTTAGTAGCAAGTAATGTATAAGAGATATTTTCTGAGGGATAAAAGAACAAGTAGGAAATTAAAACAATGTATAAAGATGACAGATGATTCCTTTAAAATGATGGTATAGGAAAAAATCTTGGCATGGAATAAAAAAGTTAAACTTTCGATGACATCTTACCTATAGCAGCATATTTAAAAGCGGCTTAGTGGCTCAAGCTAAATTTATAATACTATTACCCAACTTAAAATCCTAAGTAGTACCTGTTTGAACACAAGCAAGAAAAGAGGAAGTGGTTTTGCTATCATTTAAACAAAATGGCTTTTCTCCATAAACCCAGTTTATCTTGTACCAGTACATAATAGATACCATAGGGTGGGGATGGGTTTCAGCACGCTGAATGCAGGGTCACACTTTTCCAGAAATTTGGGTTTGCGGGCTGACTGGAGCCAAGAGTCTGGTCATCTCTGAGATGTAAGGTCCTTCTACATGATGCTGGAGAAGCACAGGAGAGCCCGACATAGACAACCCACAGGGACCACAAGTCTTTTGCCCATTCAGGACCCAGGCAGAGGTCCGTGGCCCAATCTGGAGCAGAAAGCACCAATTTCTTTTTAATCATGCACCCCTGCCAGTGGTAAAAAGCTGTGTATATTTATTCATCTTAATAATTTATTTACTGTGTGATATATGATTTAGAGTGCACATTATAAGGCAACTCAAGCAGTATTTATAATGGACAAGAGAAAATATAAACACATTTGGAAGTTCTAACATTTTCTTCCCACACCTCAAGGGACTGTCATGAGCACACCCTGCCCCTGACCCCTTGGGAGTACAGATGTCCTAGTGTGGAGACTTCTGCTCCAGAAAGCAGCCTTTTAATAAGGACAGCAGTATTAACTGAAGTGAGCTCCTGACTGTGTCAGTAAATTAAACCTAAAGGATCATTAAACAAACACAGCCAGGGGGCAGCAAAATGCAGCACCTCACACCCATTCACTGTGACTTTTCCATGTAGTTCACTTCATAATGTCAAGTTAGTTCCCTTTTAAATCTGCACAGCCAATGCCCACCACGACCACTACCACCACCACCACCACCACCACCACCACCACAGGGACCACCCTCAAGAAGAATGAAACTGAGAAGGGCTGTCCATTCCTTATAACCTCACGGAGCCTCGTTCCTCTTCCCCAGGCAAAACCTCTATCCCATAATCCCCCAAGATTACAGGACAAGTGACAGTGAGTTTCTACCCAAAGTCAACTGAGTACCTCTTCCCAACCAAACCCTGGTGACTTACAGGAGCAAGGAAGGGAAGAGGTACCAAGCTTACCATCAAGCCTCTGACCTTCTGGGAGTGCCCCAGGAGGCGCCAGCTGGATACTCTCACTCTCGGTTAACTGTGGCCATGCTGGCAGTATGATCTGGCTGCTCCACGGGAGGAAAAGGTCAGGCTGTTGTCCTATCACTCAGTGACTTTCAAATCACATCCTGTAGAGCCCTGAGCATCCTAACAGGTGCTTCCAAAGCTGTCTGGTGAGGAGGGTGGGCAAGAAAAAAAAGCAAGTTGGCAGAGCTTCAGTCCATTGCCAACCTTGTCTACTACAGAAAACTCAACTGAAAACAAATGACCAGACTGATTGCTCCGAGTGTGAAAAGCCAGGACAGGGGGTGTTGCTTTCTAAGTATGGCTGGGTCATCCAGACCACAGCTCTGCCTCTCACCTATCTTTGAGGCCTAAGCCATTAGTTACTTCTTTGTGCCGTTAGTTATTTGGTTTTGGTGGTTGATGTCAGGAAGTGCAGATTACACACTCTGCTGCTAACTCTTTCGGAGGCCGTGGCTCTAATGACTTGGTGCCCACTTTTCCTCAGACGTCCCCAAAGAGCAGCGACTGCAGGCTGTGCAGGCTGCCATCTTGCTGCTGGCAGATGAAAACAGGGAGGCCCTACAGACTCTCCTTTGCTTCCTAAATGACGTCGTCAACTTGGTGGAAGAAAATCAGATGACGTCCATGAACCTGGCTGTGTGTCTGGCCCCCTCCCTTTTTCATCTTAATTTATTGAAGAAAGAAAGCTCTCCAAGGTAAGTTTTCCTCAACAACCGCAATCCCAAGCCAGGCCACCCCCACAATTCATAAATAAACTCCTCTCATGCTAGACATCAACTTGAAGATTTGTCAGCTCTCACTTTATAATCAGAACATGCTCCAGAACGACCTCATTCACGTGACTCAGGTTCATGGAATTGTCAAAGTAGTATTGAAGAAGGTCAGTTGAGATCCAGAAAGCCTGAGGAGTTTTGTTTGTAAGAGTGGGAAGGAGGGGAAAAGTACACAGATCTGTATTTTACGATCTTTAATTTTGAAAGACTATATTTAAACAAGAAAAACAAAGCTCAGGAACATGTAGTTGAGTGGTTTCAAACTTTAGAAAAAAATTGATGCATTTCTCCTCCCACAGCTCTTCCTGCCCTTGTGTTTTTCCAAGGCTTTGGTTGTGAGCTGTTGGGCTGTTAGCCTGCCTTGGAATATCTAAGATGTGTGGTCATTGTTTTTATTTGGAAATGAGAACGCCTGGGCTCTGGATAGCATCTGGGGATGAACAGAAAACAAAAGGGATGCATGCGCTCAGTATTGTGAAAAGCTCTTTGGTTTGTGATCTGCTCAGCACTCACATTCAATTACAGAGTCATCCAGAAGAAATATGCCACTGGGAAGCCAGATCAAAAGGACCTCAATGAGAATCTGGCCGCAGCTCAGGGTCTTGCCCACATGATCACGGAATGCAACAAACTGTTTGAGGTGAGCAAAAGGCTCTACCTCCTTCCTCCTAGCTCTTGGAACTAGATAAGAAGCTTGGAATCCTTGCTGCGTTTATGGTTTATGTCTGTTTGTTCCTGACCTTATGATGACAATAGTATGCTTCATAGCACTGGGTTTTGCCTCCAAGAAACATGAGGAGCTAGCTATACAGTCCAGGCTTTGATAGAGACACTTGGAGTCACTATGATGATGATTTTTTTGTGCAAACAATTGCATCACCTTCCTTTGTCAGGTTCAGGGCCAGTCAGCCAATATTGTTATATTTGATTTTACCTCAGGGCTTGATTAGGCTCCACATTGGGGTGTGTGTGTGTGTG